CAGTCTCTTCTCGTTTGACTCCCTCCCTGTTTGTATCTTATTTTTGCTCTCTTTCACTATGTTCATCAGTGTATTAAATTCCACACATGGGAGAAATCATATGATGTGTGTCTTTCTCTGACATATTATGGTTAGCATAATAAAGTCTGGTTCCATCCACCGTGTTGCAAATAGCAAGATTCCACTCTTTTTGATCGCCGAGTAATATTCCACTGTATGAATATACCACATCTTCTTTATCCATTCATCTGTCAATGGTCATTTGGGCTCTTTGGATAATTTAGCTATTGTTGATAATGCTGCTATAAACATTGGAGTGCATGTGCCTCTTTGAGTCAGCGTTAGTGTCTCCTTTGGATAAATGCCTCTTAGTGCAGTTGCTGGGTCGTAGTGTAGTCCTCTTACTGTTTTTTGTGACGAATCTCCATACTATTGTCCAGAATGGCTACACCACTTTGCATTCCCACCAGCATTGCAAAAGCATTCCCTTTCTCTGCATCCTTGCCAACACCTGTCGTTTCCTGAGATGTTAATTTTAGCCATTCTGATAGGTGTGAGGGGATATCTCGTTGTGGTTTTAATTCGTATTTCACTTTTGACGAATGAGGTTGAGCACCTTTTCAAGTATGACCAATCTGGATGTCATCTTTGTTAAAGTGTCTCTTCATGTCTTTTGCCCATTTCTTCACGGGGTTATTTGGTTTTTGGGTGTTGAGTGTGATATGTTCTTTATAGATTTTGGATAGTAACCCTTTATCTGATAGGTCACCTGCAAATATCTTCTCCCATTCCATTCAGTTTCGTTTTAGTTTTGTTGATTGTGTCCTCTGTTGTGCAGAAGCTTTTTATCTTGAGGTCTCAATAGTTCATTTTTGTTTTTATTGCCCTTGTTTCTGGAATCTTGACAAGCAATATGTTGCTGCAGTCAGGATCAAAGAGGTAGGTTGCCCTTTTTCTCCTCTAGGATTTTGATGGTCTCCTGTCTTACACTTAGATCTTTCATCCCTTTTGAGGTGTGTATGTGTGTGAGAGAGAGAGAGAGAGAGAGAGTCAGAGAGAGAGAGAGAGAGAAACAGAGAGAGACCCAGAGGTTTAAGAACATAGTCCAGGTTCATTGTTCTCACTGTCCATTTTTCCCAGTACCATGTGCTGAAGAGACTCTTTTTTTCCTTTGGATATTCTTTCCTGTTTGGTCAAAGATGACTCGGCCATAATTTTGAGGGTCCATTTCTGGGTTCCCTATTCTGTTCCTTTGATCGATGTGTCTGTCTTTGTGCCCGTCCCATACTGTCTTGATGATTGCGGCTTTCTGATCCACCGTAAAGTCCAGAATTGTAATGTCTCCAGTTTTGTTTTTTTTCTTTTTCAACTATACTTTGGCTCTTTGGGGTCTTTTCTGGTTCCATACAAATTTTAGGATTGTTTGTTCTAGCTCTGGAAGAATGCTGGTGTTATTTGGATAGGAATGACATTGAATTTGTCCATTGCTTTGGGTAGTATTGACATTTTCACAATATTTGTTCTTCTAATCCATGAGCATGGGATGTTTTTCCATTTCTTTGTGTCTTCTTCAAGTTCTTTCATAGATGTTGTATGGTTTGTTCTTTTAATTTTTTTAATGTTATTTATTTTCAAGAGAGTGAGCGAGCGAGCAAGAGCCCGTGAGCAAGGGAGAGGCAGAGAGAGGGAGACACAGAATCTGAATCAGGCTCCAGGCTCCAAGCTGTCAGCACAGAGCCCATCACAGGACTCAAACTCACAAACGCGGGATCATGTCTTGGACCGAAGTCGGCACTTCACCAACTGAGCCACCCAGGCGCCCCTCTATTGTTTTAATGTACTGATCTTTTACCTCTTTGGTTAGATTTATCCCTGGGTATTTTATGCATTTCAGTGCAGTTGTAAATGAGATCAATTCCTTAATTTTCTTTCTGTTGATTCATTATTGGTGTATAGAAATGCAATCAACTTCTGTATGTTGGTTTTATATTCTGAGACTTTCCTGAATTCCTGTATCAGTCCTAGAAGTTTTTTGGTGGAGTCGTTTGGATTTTCCACGGAGAGCATCATATCTGTGAGGAGGGAAAGTTTGACCCCTCCTTGCCAACTTGGACACCTTGTATTTCTTTTTGTTGTCTGATTGCTGAGGCTAGGACTTCCAACAGAATGGTGAATAACAGTGCTGAGAATGGACATCCCTGTCGTGTTCCTGACCTTAGGGGGAAAGCTCTCAGGTTTTCCCCATTGAAGATGTTATTAGCTGTGGGACTTTCGTATCTGGACATTCTCACATTGAGGCACGATCCTTCTATCCCTCCTTTCATGAGGGTTTCTTTTTTTTTTTTTCATCAAGAAATGATGCTGCTGCATTTTGTCAAATGTGTATTCTGCATCTATTGAGACGCTCATGTGGTTGTTATCCTTTCTTTTATCAACGTGATATATCACATCAGTTGATTTGCGGATATTGAATCGATTGCGCATCCCAGGAATAAAATCCACCTCGTTGT